GTCCGCAGTTCAATTACATTGTTGCCGTCAGTTCTTACCGGTCTTATATATACAAGAATACCGCATATCTAGTAGCCTCTCGAGACTTCAGGAAGGGACAGGATCATTCTAGAAGTTCATGACCTGTTACTTGCGTCACGTGACCCCCGCTGTCGTAACATTATGATATACAATACTGTACAAAAGCGTAACTTGTCTGCAGACTTACGACACAAAAATGGGTTCCAATACCCACGATGAGAAGAGCACAGTTAGCCTATTCTGTAGCTCTGAGCATAATGACAGTCAATCTTCTTTTTTTTGTTAACAGGCTGTCCAGTAAACACTGGATTTTACTTTTAGTTACTTCGTGTTAACGATATCCTGGAAGCGTGCAGTATTTTCATTAGAGAATTTCACCACAAAATTACGATGATTTACTTAAACAACACATGATATGTCAGGATGAAGTCAAATTTATATGCGTTTAATAATTTTATGACTTATAATGTAAAGTAGACTTAGGGCTGATTCTTAAAATTTGAACTTGGCTCCACCCCCCCAGTGAAACTTTCCTTTTTTTTTTTCGGCCCACAACAACTAATTTCAAAACCTTAACCAAAATATTAGTTTCCGTTGACATGGTAACTGCATAATCTTGTTTTTCTTACTGACGAAAAACACTTAGTTAATTAAATTATTATTAATATGTCAAGTTATTGTTCAGATGCATTGAAACTTATCGGGTTTCTTCTGAATTGATAACCACGCAATAATTAACTAGTATAAACACCAGAATGATTTCCTGTGCCAATTTATTAGTTTCTAAATGCAAAAAATATGCTTTTTTAACCGTTTTTGGACAATTTAAATGTCATCTATCAAAGAATCTATATAAAGAGACCTTTAGACAAATGTCAATCTCAGATTGATAAAACAACAACATTAGAGTCGCTTAAGAGACATGTGTTGAAATACCATTTAAAATTACTTGGATTAAAATGACTTATAAATCAAATAAACTAAAAATGTCTGCATAAAAGTACAATCTGTGTTCACAGGCAATGTTCAACCAAGGATCAATCATTATCTGATACCAGCTGGTATATACATTTCTTTTGTAAATTACATAAATTTCCTAGTGTTTTCTTAAATATATGCGTCACAGACCGCTGATAACATTTTGATATGGGGCATGAGACCCACGTTTAACCACCGCTAAATTTCAAAACCAAACTGAATCACGTAAGAACATAGTGTAACAAATGACGCATAGTTTTATACCCTATCAAAACTCGAGCAATAATGTTTAATAGATAACTTAAAAGAAAGTTAAGTAAAACATACGATGCTAGTTTCAAACTATTTAATACGCAAATACTGTTTTCGAAATCCATATAATTCCCAGAAATTAATTTGGAATGATCATTTCTCAGAACTACTCAAAATAACACGCCAAAGATTTCCGATCAAACATTAATAATAACAATAACAGAGCTGAATGTGAGGAACGCATAACGAATTTAACAAGAATAAACAAAACTTCGAAAGTAAACGAATAAACTGGAGTTCATTTCCATAGTCACCTGAAATAAAAGGTAAAATGCTCCAAGGTGTCTAGGAGGGTGGCGTGTTTAAGGTGTCTAGGAGGGTGGTGTGTTTAAGAAAATAGACTGCATTAGATTGTAGGGATATTTATTTTTTTCAGGAAGAATGGGTAGCAGGTAACTTGGAAAACTGAGATGAAAAAGAATTTCTGTTCTCAGATTTTTTGATAAAATAATTGGAAAAGTTCTTGATACGCTCTGCAAGAGACTGCAGCTTGCAGACCTTCTGTAGATATGACCTCGTGTATAATTCTGGAGTTTGTAGACAGTTCGGGTGGCTGTTAAGTGTTGGGAGTGTAAGATTTTGTATGTCTGTTCTCACATATTACATGTTACTATATTCCAGTATGGATCTAATGGACATTTTGTGATTTAGCATGATGGAGTGTGCATTGCACTCTTTGGCATCCCCTCTAATCTTGCAGAGATAATTCCAACACACTACACTGAAGTTTTCATTCAGTACTCTGCTTTGACAGTCACTGTCTTCCTTGGTAGGAGTTTAGGTAATTAACAAGGGATGTTAAGAAATAATGGATTTCTCTTCATCGCGCTTGTGATAATGTTAGATAAAGTGAGGGTGATTTACTTTGATTACATATAGATTACTGAAGTTTTGATTTATTCT